TGAAATTATGATTTGTGTTTAATATTCTCATACAAATATTATTGTATGTTTATTTATAAGTAATATTTGACACGAATAATTATACAGAGTAGTTTACAATCATGACCCATAATTTGTGTTTTAATGCCTAACTATGTCTAACTTGACTTGTTTGATTCATTTGATTTGCTTAGTCTCCCCTTTATTTTAGTTATTTATATTTAAAGATTTGACCATGACATTATAGATGATAGTTGGAGTGCTAAAACGAAATGGATAGCCGGACGACTTTCCATCTGTTGAATGTGCTTCGTTATGTGAATTCGAGATGAACATATTCAACGGATGATGAGTTCTTAATTCCTCATTTCGTTTTAACTAGTTGATTGTAATATCATTATTTTTTTAAAAAAAATTGGTTGAGAAATAATAATAATAAAATCATCTACAATCTTTGTGTATATATATATATTTTTTGTAAATATGATATGTCATAATAAATTTATACAAAAATTTTGAATTATTTATTTTTAGTTTGAGCAATTGTTTTATACATTTTGTGTAAAAATAAATCCCTAAATAATAACCAATAAGTGTTGTGTATAGATTTTACATAATTTTTATGGTTGATTCGTTATGGAAAGAGAAAGAGGGAGATTAGTTAATGGAAAGAGAAAGAGGGGGGAGAAAGAAAATATGCTTGAATGTGTAAAAAGGTTATGTGTGTCATGTTTGGACTTCACATAATTTTTACAAATCTACTTAATATATAATTTAATTCGTTAATGGAATGAGAAAGAGGAAGGATAAATGAAATATGCTCATATGGCGTAAAAAGGTTGTATGTGTCATGCTTGGACCCCACATAATTTTTACAAACTTATTTAATATAGGGTTGATTCGTTAATATAGGGTTGGAGGAGGGGAACAGGTGGAGAAGGAAATATGCTGATGTGGCTTTGTAAAAAGATTGTGTGCGTTATGTATATAATTTTTACAAACTTATTTAATATAAGGTTGTTTTGTTAATGGAATGAGAGAAGGAGGAGAAAGAAATATAATAATGTGGCTGTATAAAAAGTTTGCGTAAAATGTACAACAATTTTACACATGTCAATAAAAAAAATTTACACAATCATACGTGACCGTGTATATTTTACAAAAAAAAAAAGTATTTTAAACTAAGAGCATCTCCTGTCTATATATATATATATATATATATATATATATATATATATTTTTTTTTTTGTGCACAAAAAATTTGAATTATCTATTTTTAACTCCATTAGTTGTTTTATGCCTAAACCCTATATAATATTTAGTTGATTCTTTAATGGAATGAGAAATAAAGAGGAGAAATGAAATGTGTAAAATACATAATAATTCATTGGTGACGTTACAGTATATCTTAATATATTATTGAAGATAAAAAAAAAAAAAAAAAAAAAAAAATTATACATCATACATTGCCGTTACACAAAAGAACAAAAGACAAATTTTGTTACCAATAAAAAAAAAAAAAAAAAAAGACCAAATCATATCCATGACTTTTGCTTAAACATAACAATTTTTTACGGTTTCTTTTCACATGAAAAGGACTCGCCCCATGCGAGAGGTTGTGAGTGCAAACAAAATATACATATTGATTAGAATTGAGATGGGTTAATTGTGTGGTTCCTCTGCGTTTCTTTGACTTTTTAATTTTTTATATATTCTCATATTTGTGCGTTGATGATGATGTGTATATATATACCTACTTTTCTATTAATTAAAAATTTTGAAGTTGTTAAATATATATATTCAACCAAAGTGACTGCTTTGGTAAACCCCTCGTTACATGGGGATTGCGGAGTTGCTGAAACAGCCATTTAGGCTCTGTTTGGACACATTTAAAATAATTTAAATATATATATATATATATATATATATATATATATATATATATATAGTTATCCTAAAATATTTGAAAAGAAAAATATTAAAAATATAAATTTATAAAAATAATTTACCAATCAATTTTCAACAAATTATTTTACACATCCCACTCAATGGAATTGACCTGAATCTCGACGTAAATATTTATTCAATACTAGAAATTTATATATATATATATATATATTTTATAAAAATATTTTAAGGGAACTTAATGTAATGAAATTATTGTCCCTATAAAATTGTAATTAAATTACTTTTTAAGTAGGAGGGCTGTCGTGTATAAAAAAATCTGGCGGCTTGGTAATAAACAAATTGTACTAAATTGTAACTAGCAGAGGGAATATGTGAAGTTCACTTTAGCATGTAAAAAGATTCCGAAAGCTCGACATTGCTTTAGAGTAAATATTAAGCATATTATGTGTGCTTAGGTTCCATTTACACCACTTTACGTGACTATGCTTTCTCAGTTTCTCAATTATTTGGCATGAATAGTTAATTTTAAGTCACACAAGAAAACCAAGGACAATTGTGACCGTTCATTTTCGGCCGTTTGATTACATATATGAAGTTCACGTAAAAACTACATTATGCATCCGTTAAGGATAAAAAATTATAACTAGCGAATGTCCTTAACACTCCTCTAACCACTTGTATCCATTATTAATGTGAGAGAGCAAGCTCAAATTTTAATTATTATTATTATTATTATTATTTTTATTTTTTTTTATTTATTTTTTTTTCTGGTTAAAACTTTTTCTTTTTTCTTTGTTGCTGAGTTATGAACGTTTTTGTAACTGGTCTTTGAAAATTGATTGATGCATGTACCTAATACCATGTTCTCACACACACATTGAGAGAGAGATAATATACTATCACAGAAAAATCAGATCATCAATTAATCTCTCCCCCTTCCGGTTAGATGCTATTTATCTTTGTATGTTATGTTGGAAGTTTAACAATGTGGTGTGTGTGTGTGTGTGTATATATATATAGAAGTCTATATGTGTATATATATATACACATATAGATAAGACATTAACATGCTCTTCCAACATCCTTACCCACCCACTAAAATTCCTATTAGCCATCTCTCCATTGGAATGAAGAAGAGATATCACCTGAAGATTGATGAATGTTTCATTGAATATATTGAGATAAATATATATAATACTAGTCACTATCATTAACAACCTTTATATTAAATAAATTAATATGATTCAGGAAACAATATATATAAATTTAAATGGAGTTAGACATATAAATTCCCTCCTTTAGTCCATAGTTTTATCACGAGTCATTTCTTTTATTATATTATATTTTTAAGAATTATTTATAATTACTTCATTTCATGTTACTTTTAGTTGATTTTTAAATTGATCTTCATACACCTGCTTTCTCTTTCTATTTTGTCACTAAGAAACACCACTCTAATTTCTCAGCCACATATTAAATTAATATTAATTATGCTATTATTTTTTGGATTTATAATGCAATTGTCCAATAAAAGCTATGCTATTTATTCAAATAAGTATGAGGCCAGATTTGCATTCTCTAGTAGATAAATACAGCTGTGTACCTAAGTTCGGGTTGCAACCACTAAAGTATGAGGCCAATTTTGCATTTTGTAGTGTCACACCTAAGTTTAGGTAATTACTTAGGAAGCAGGAAAATGATCTTAACTAAATAAGGTGTGATTTAAAATAGGTTTTTTTTTTTTCTTTTTTTTTTTTTTTAGTTATCAATAAATCAAATGGAATGAAGTTAATATATGGAGAAAAAATCAATTAAGCGACTTAGAACACTCATAAAACAATGGTCACTAATCACCATGTGTCCTTATATGACAGGTACATGTGTGGTGGGTACACTCCTCACCTCACGGCTGAAAACCCACTTGACGTGGGCACTCATCTGTGTCGCCCTACCCTACTACCCCCTTATTCTCTCACCAGATTTGGATCAGAGAGAGACACTGTGTGTTTTAGAGAGAGAAAGGGAGAGAGTTTTAGAGAGAGAGAGAGAGTCTCGTGGCAGGCACCAGGCTTGCAATACAATACAATTTCAATTAGATTAAGAGAATCGTTGAGGAAAAAAAAAGAAAGTAATGGGCTTGCTTGAAAGCCAACCGAATCTCAGTGATTTCTCACACAGTCACACACCACCTCATAGTAGCTTGCATCTCTCTCTCTCTCTCTCTCTCTCTAAATTGGTACTTTTCTTTAAGAGGACATGGAGTGAATGAGGGGCAGCATGTCTTTAACGTGCAATCCCTTTGCTTTAATGGTTGTTTTATTCGTGACTTGCTTGCCTAACTGTGATAAAGAGATTGTGAAATCGACCTAAAACGATATCTCCAACCTTTCTTCACACCTATTCTTACCCTAACTTCACCTTCGTTTACCTTCCTCTCCAACCAACTATACTTTCAATAATCGTAACCGTCCAATTTCATCTATTAAATAAGTCAAGTCCCAATAAACTGTTCATAGCTCACAAATTGAAAATTATGAATATTGAGATGAATCCAACAATTTACAAATCAATCTAAATATTAGAAAACTTCGAGTCTTTTTAGACTTCTACCAAAATTCCGAAATATTCAACAATTCAGAAAAATGTGAGTTTAGGGTTTTGAATGTGAAAATTCAATCCTCAACAGTGAAGATATTTACCAAGTTTTTCGTTTCTGATCGAAAATGATTCTTCCGGATCAAAATGAACTTGTCAAAACTGTTTCGAAAAAAAAGTGTCAGCCCACCTATTTGACCTTTTAACAATTTAAATTGATAGTATAGATTTCGACAATTAATTCATCATTAATAGTACTGCACTCTATAAACAAACAAGTCGTTCATTTCAATTTTTTAACCATATAGTTTGTCAATTAATTGTGGAATTTGTAGGAGTAACTTAGCAGTTGCGAGAATAACATTAATTAAAAGCTAGTGTAATTAACATTCTAGGCACATTAAAAATGCGTAAAAAGGAAAACAAAGTCATGTTAAAAGCGCTTGTTTTAATTAAGTTAGAAACGCAAGGAAGATACATTACATAATATTGGTGGCAGACTAGTTCACGGTAACTGTTCACAGGGGCGGCTTTTTGACTCCAAACACTTGCCTACCCATTCACTATATATATATATATATATAAACAACACCACCCACTATCTCACCACTCTCTTCCTCTTCACTATATATATTAGCCCTCTGTGCTTTCTCACTTTGCTTGTCTTCTCAATTCATCAATTTTCCATTTCCATTTCTCTAAGCTTATGGAAGCCATAGAAGAATTCACAGGTTCCAATGATCACACCATCGTCGTTAAAGGTAAGCGTACCAAGCGTTCAAGGCCTTTGTCCCCATTTGGCATGGCTGTCACGAGCTCTAGCTCATCTGGAGGCGGCGGCGGCGGCGGCGGTGGAGGAGGCGGAGATGTTTGTTATTCAACTCCTTCTCCTACAACCTCTGGAGAGTTTTCTACAACCACGGATGAAGAGGAAGACATGGCGAATTGCCTAATTCTCTTAGCACAAGGTGTTGGTCCAAGGCAAGTGGAGAAGAAGGCCAAGATTGAGAAGTTTAGTAGTACTGATCATCATCCAAGATTAGCCATGGCCACCGCGACAACTGGCGGCACCGGCATCTATGTCTACGAATGCAAGACTTGTAACCGGACTTTTCCATCGTTCCAAGCTCTAGGCGGTCACAGGGCGAGTCACAAGAAGCCCAAAGCCATGGCGGCGGAAGAGAAGAAAGTCATGTCCATGCCACCATTTGATCATGATGATCATCACAACAATATTATCGAAGAGGGACATTTCATTAACATCAGCCCACCTCTCCCTCTTCAAATCGTCAATAAACCCTCTCAGCACCAACAACACATGAATAGCAACAAGGCCAAGGTTCACGAGTGCTCCATTTGTGGCGCGGAATTCTCATCAGGGCAAGCTTTGGGTGGTCACATGAGGCGACACAGGACTCATACAAACACTCGACTCGACACAAACACTACTATCCAGTCTCATGAAGATGAGAAGCCAATTAGGCATGTACTGTCACTGGATCTTAACCTTCCTGCACCAGAAGACGATCACCGGGACTCCAAGTTTCAGTTTGCATCCAACCAGCAACATCTAGTCTTCTCCTCCCCGGCCTTGGTGGATTGCCATTACTAAGAATAAAGGGTCATCAAATTGGATCAATGTGAATTATTATCATTATATATTAAGTTTTAGTACTATTATTCATAGTTTCCAATTCTTTGAATAGTTTTTTATTGGGTTCCATATTGGTGATCTACTTGTTGAAGTTGAATTCTTTGAGTAAGTGGTTAGTGTTGTTGGTTGCCTTTGATTCACGAAAAGTGAGTACTGATGAGGCATCTTTATTTTTTAACCTTTAAAATTTTGGTTTTTGTTCTTTGTTAGTGGGAGAGCGATGCGTAACATTGTGTGAGTGTGTGTGTGTGAGAGAGTGATGGGGAATGGGGAATGGGGAATGGGTAGGGGTTTTTTGGCATCACCAGCACCACAACTAAAAGTCGTGGATTAGGTTCCTCTTGCTTTTGATTACTGCAATAAAGCTATAAAAAAAAACTCACTCTACGTTTGTTCCATTAAATGACAAGAATAAATGGTTAGGAACATGAATTGGTAACTGCCTTTCCCATATTTATCCATCTCTACTTATTTTTCATTCATACATATAAAGACATCTGTGTGTGTAGATAAGCTCAAAAGCATTTGTATTCATGTGTCATGTGTGTGTAGATATATATATATATATAAAATAATGTGTCACTTCTGTTTTTTTCCTTCTTATTATTAATCAATGGTTCACCTCACTTGTACTTAGTTACTCAAAGGTAGCCCATCCATTGTACCTAATTACTCAAATCAACTGAAGCATCCCTTACTTCTAAAGTTACTCAACTAATTTGAAATGATATCTTAGTATATTAGTTGGGTCCAACCTCACAGTGTTAATTGTCCATTCATATACCAAAATTAGGGTTTATTCTCTTATCTACAAAAACAGTTGGGTATGATGTATATAGAAGGACAATCCTGAATACCCATTTTTTCTCTTTCTCTTTTATTTATTTGGGGGTTTTGGTAGGTCAGGATTAGGTCACTAACTTTTGTATTAAGTGTAGATTAAATGTTAGCAGGTGTTTTAGTGTTGAGAGAGAGAGAGAGAGAGAGAGAGAGAGAGAGTCTCTTATGTGTTTGTGCACGTTTTAGTGAAAATTGGTAAGCTAAGCATGTGAACGCACATTGTGTGAGATGTCCAAATACAATGAGAGAGAGAGAGAGAGAGAGAGAGAGGGGTCATTGACATTGGCACATGGCTAGCTACCTTGTCAATATAATCTTCTATATTCTCTATGATTATTCAATTCTTATCTAATAACAACTAATATATATATATATATATATACATGAAATAATCTCTTACAAGAAAAAATTTATTCACATTATGCATTATGATAGTTGATAGTTGGATGTGATTGTTATCTTATTTTGGTAACAATCTTTTTAACATTATGTATAGTGCGAATGAATTTTTTAAGTAAACAAGAGAACATTACTAGATATATATATATACACATAATTATGTGTGTATATATATATATAAAGGTTTCCTTATTTGTCACACTTTTACTAGCCAGCTGCTATCGCCAGTGAATGTGAATATTTGACAACTACTCAAATGCGAATGGGTTCCAGGGGTAATTCAGTAAATTAACATCCTATTGGTGCCACTACACAATCTTGAGGTGGCATGTTTTGACGATTTGACAACTGGTTGGTCATCAATACTGCAGGTTTTCAAATTGGAGAAGAAAATTAATAACCACAAATTTATTTATTTATTTTCCCTTAATATGTCAAAACAGAATAAAAGAAATGCCCATCTATCAACAGATATGCCCTAATTCCTCACCGTAACATTGACTAAAAATAATTTGACCATATCCTATGGAAACTACTCCTTATAATCGAGTCATGATCCTCTAGTGTAAAACACCATACATTAAAATTAGATTTAATTATGTTAAAAATTATTTTAATATTATAATTTGAAATAATGTGTTGAAACATGATTTAATTAGAATAATTAAGTTCACATGCATAATTGAAAGTGTGTGTATGTGTTATGTGGTATCTAATTTTATAAATAAATATGTCTGTGTCTATATAAATAAATATATGTGCGTGTTATGTGGTATCTAATCTTACTTAGGATTATTTTTTTAAAAAAATGAGAGAATGAAAAGACAAGAATATAGTTATCTCTTCGGGCTTGGGATATGAAAAGCTATTTTAGCACAGCGATGGCCGGTGGCAATACTGACATGACCTATGATCATCAATCCCATAAAACAAAAGGCCCAAATGACCGACAAAAATTACTCAACAATTTAATAACTAGATTGGGCCTGCCAATAGCACAATAGAAGTTGATTGCTGTTTAGAAAATGTCAAATGGGCCCACCAAGTTGAACTGAAGTATTATCTTTTCTTCTAATCTCTCCTTTTAATTAATTAATTTATTTATGTTTTTTGGTCTTCTAATAATTTTATTACAATGCTTTCCACATGATTTTTATTTTTATTTTTTGTTAATTTTTATTTATAATTATTGAAGTGTTTATATCATCTCAAAACTGCGTGTATCGAATAAATTCATGACGGAAAACTTTATGTTAATTTAACAATTTCATAAGATTGTCTTTTTAAGATACAATACTTACCTCCTGATGTGACACAATAATAGAATGATGTATTTTTAAAATGAATACGTATGATTCTATCATTATGCCACACTCATAGTGAGTTTTTTTAAGTCTTCCTAAATAAATTATTTTCTGATATAAAATGATTTAGTCCAGTTCCATGACGAAAAATAAAGTTGCAATCCTTTACCACCTCTTTCTTTCAGATGCAACAGATTCGATGAATGGTATCCCTTTCCAATCACAACAGAGAATCATGCTTTTCCCACTCTTTTCCAATTTCCACACCATATTGTAGTGGTCAATTCATTTTAGGAATGTTCTATTTTTGGATCTCAAATTCCTTTCTGATTCAAGAAAATGGCCCCAACTATTCAGAGTCAGAGTTTCATTATTCTTCTCTCTCTCTCTCGTGATGTGGAAATAATGAATAAATAAATAATTTTTGTTTGCAAAGAATGCGATTATGTTTAGATCAGAGTAAACATAATTTTATTTACTTAATCCTATGAATGAAATCTGCCATATGAATTCTCTCTCCGTATTTTCTATTACATGTTTTTCTTTTTTTCCTAAATTCTATTACATGTTATTTCACCTACCATAAATATAGCTCACTCCATTCTATTTTTGCTTGCCCTTTCAGTCTCTTACCTTCTATTTCAACTAATCTTTCTCGCGGGTCTTAAGTTTATATATGTGTCTACTAATGGGTACTAAACCTAATTTTCGTCTCATTTATAACAAACACCTTTCGTCATATTTGCCTCACTGCTCAGATTTTGAAAAGCCAATTCTCAATATAAATAAAAAAAAACTATGACCAAGGAAAAGGAAAATCTATTCTGGTGAGGAGCTTCTATGCATTTAGGTGGGCATCAAATTCATGACCAGATATACTAGTCGCAAGTGCCGTGTTGTCTGAGTAATTTGTGTTCAAACCTTGCACCCTTCCCTCTCTAAAAACTAACTCCTAACATTCTTGCCATGATCCAAAAAAAAAAAAAAAATACTAGTAGATAGTACAGAGGATGTTCAAATAACCTCACCCCTCACCAACAAAGTTTTCACAAGACAAAGCACCCTGCATTCAACTAATTGCAGTCACTTCTTAATTTCTTATACTGCTCACTACCTGGGGATCCTAGTTTGCTAGATTGGATGACATTAGGTATCCACAACTGTTTCCTATCATCCATCTTTAAGTCTCACTGCAACTTTGAATCGTCACTTGACCATGTCAATCATACGAGGTGGCCACAACGATATAACAAACCAAACCGGATAGCAACCACAAAAGGAATTTCTATAAAATGCTTAGGGGGGTTGCATTTTGCACTGCTTCGACGGTCCCTGTCCAGTCAGGAGAATTCATGGGGCAACAGGCAGTTGAGACAGAACGGACAGGTGAGAGTTTTACATCACTTCAAAACAGCAATGCTGTCACTCAACTGAACACAAAATTGCTTTCATTCATTATGAAAATAAGACAGATGAAAGACGGCTTAATCAATGAGCAGAAGCTAAAACTACACCAATAGAAGTAAGAAGATCACGAAAGTAGTGAGATAGTTGATCACCAGCAGGCGAAAACTACAAAATTGAATCACAACACCCTTCTTCAATTATCAATTCTCGCAACAAAGTTAAGCAGAGGGGGCAAAAATCAAGCAGAAAAGCATCATATCAGATTGACCATTTACTTCTATGTGAGATTATCTTGTGATTATATAAGATAATTTTTCATGTTGAAGTTATTAACAACAATAAAGCTCTCAATAATCATAAAAGGTTGCACTAGAATAAATTTAGTGAATCTGCATTTCTTAAAGAATACTACAATCAGTAGATGGTGTAGAAGGATAAACAAAAGAACACAAAAATGACATGGCCAAGGACAGGTAAACCTAATATTATACCTCCTCACAGATAAAAATAAAAAATAAAATAAAAAAACACACACACACGCACACTTAAATATTGGTGGCCTCCAGAGCGCATTTATGTGAATTTTGGTAATGACAACGTTCCTCCTGCAAGGGAGGAACCTCCTTAATATAGAGACAACTCCATGAATTCTTTACCATGAATATCTCACCCCATAAGTCCTTTTATTTGGATAGTCCTATAAATAACAGTCCAATGGTAAGGTGAAGAACATTTTGAAGGGATGAAAATTTTGCGGGTTGTTTTTAAATTAAACATATTATGCTTTCATCATTTTTGACTTAATTGAAGAACAATATCAGAATGAACTCACAAAAGCTTCTTGTTAGAAACAAAATCACAACTTTGTTTGAAATCTTGAACAAGCATCTATGTCACTTAAACTTCTCATATGAAGCTATTTAGGCTAAAGTTATCACATCTAAACAAAACTGAAAAATAACTGGAATCAGCCCAATACTTTTCTTCAACCAAATTGAACCTAGACACAAATTAGGCAACATTTCGTTTTTCCTTTCCTTTCCCAGCTAACAATAATCCACTGTTTCTATTACCCTAAAATAAACCGAGAAGCTAAGCAACCCATTAGTTCATTTCATTTCTGTTTTTTAGGGTGGGTTGAGAAAAATCATTTGATAGCTCTGGTCAAATGTTTTAGAGGTCAAATGGATTTAAGGTATGTTTTGTCTCCCACTAACAGTGTTGGAAGCTATGGTATAAAACATAGTTCACTATCAAAGACATCATAGAGAAAATGCCATGAGATCAGAGAACCATAACAAAAGAGAAAAATCTGAAGTCAAAGGACGGTGTGGCAATAACTGTGAGTCATCATGATCCAAAAGTTCCCAAACTACACATTTTGTTAATTAAGCAACCCAGCGAACACCTTTCATCAGTTAATTCAAATGTGAGTACAAATATGCTTTCCCTACAGTGTGAATCCATTTATCAAAAGATCGTGTACCTTCTCTGACAAGAGCCGCTTAAAAAAATTTTTAATCCACATAGTGGAGCTCCAAAAGGTGCCTATCCTTAGTTGGCATATACATTCAACCTTACTCGAGCATCGACTTCTGGATGAAGTTTCAACTCCGCAATATATTCACCTGTTTCCCGGATCTCCGGAAGAGAAACAATTCGTTTGTCCACATCCCTGCGAATAAAGGAAAGAGCAGGAAAGAAGATATGAGAATGAGACCTACTCAGCACAAAGACATTTATTATTAATTATCTACACTTCAACCGGTATCATGTTGAAAGATGTATAATATCCAGCTGCTCGATAAAAAGCCGAAATTTGGGTGGCAGAAATGAGATTAAATATTCTTTTCAAGGTCCTGAATATGTCAAATGCCAAAAAAATTGAAAAAACAGTCCTTATCTACTTGTTGGCTGACAGACTGGATTAGTCATCTAGAAGGATCTAAGTGAGGGGCATCAGAATGAATGCCGATATAATTTCTCCATAATCTTTCATGTTCATGAAATCAAGATATAATACAGAACAATATCATCATCTTCACAGTATCTCATCTATTAATAATATATCCGACCAACTGTAAGTAGACTTGCTTGTCCATCGTGGTTGTTTGCATCAGTGTGCTGGGCCTGCTGTCAACTTGTAACCGTGAATGCAAATACAGGTTTTTAAGATTATTTGGCAATAGAAATGCAAAAATTGGGAATCCAATGGAAATAACACTAAAAGGAAAAAATGAAAAAAAGAAAAGAAAAGAAAAGTCAGGTACAATTAAGCAATTTTTAAAAATTCAGAAATATTATTAAAAGTATTAAAACATTGAAAATTTGAAAGCTTGAAAAGAGAGTACAAAAGCACCTCTGAAGCTGTGCCTTGATTATGTCAACAAGATCTTGAGCAGTAACACTGCAAGAATACATATACATCAGAAACGATATGCAAACAATGGTTAAACTAACTGCTCAACATTGTGTTACATCATACTCACGTTCCAAAGATCTGTTTTCCTTTCCCACCCTTGCGCTTCACCTTGAAAGCTCCAACAGTTTCAAAAATTCTAGCAAGTTGTTGTGCCTCTTCTTTTACCTGCACACAAGATGATATTATCAAATCCCAATCAATCTAATAAAGCCATTACACTAAATCAAATGGATTATAGTGGCAAGGAAAATGACAGAAACATAAGTATTAACATATGAGGCATTCAAGACCATTTGAAAGAAAAATCACTGCATTTATGTTTTTAATCATTTAGAGGCACATAGCAATGCTCTAGATGGGTCACACTGGGGGCAGGGGAGCCAGTATATTTGAATTCTAAATTTCATTTTGATGTGTAATGGAATCATTTTCTCAAAAAAAAAATAATAATAAATAAAAGAAAAAGAAAAAAAGAAAAAGTAGTTCATCACGTGGACATTAAAAATAAAGAAGCCAAAGCTAAAAGTGTGTCTTGGAAGGATCCTATTGCAGGACAAATCATGTAGGCACTTTAGTGTAGTAAGTTCACAAATACTAAATGTCAGAGAATATAAATAAGGGATCAGACTTTGGCGATACCAACCCAGCAGCTTACTAAGAATAATGTCCAGAACCATATCTATCACCATCGAACACTATATATATATATTTTCTTTGGATAATGGAGTGGCCTTACTCCCATTGGGAGCGGGAATGTTCCCTTTGGATACATGCAATTATCTCAAGCCACACACATTGGCTAAGCGTAGGACGATTCGAACTCCAGACTTCTTGGTGTAGCCAACCCATTGCCCCACTGGGGTTGTTGAAATATTATATCAAAAGCATCTCTCAAAACTGATTTTTTTTTCCTCGGGGAGAGGGGGGATGATTTCCGTATGAGGAGAAGGGGGAAAGAGGGGCACTTGTTTTAGTGATGTATAAATCCATGTAGTACTTGATTACCCGTTTTTTCTCAGCCTCTATTCTCTCCTCTTCCATCCGCATTTCCCTGGAAGAAAAGAATAAGAGAATGAAGTAAGCACTGGATCACCACCACTAGATATTGGACATATATATATATATATATATATATATATATATATATATATATATATATATAAAATCTTTCTTAAAAAAAAAATAAGATTAATATTTTTGCTTTTATTTTTATTTTTTCATTAAACAATAGTGTGATAGGTGATGTTATTGTTCTTTAAGGGAATTCTCAACTAGAATTTAAATTAAATTGGATGTGATGACTGATGAGAAAAGGAGGTGGTTCCATCTATTTTCTATGCTGTCAACTTTAAGCTTCTCCTTTCATAGTCATAAATATAGAGTACAAAGAATAAATGACACTTCTAAAAGGGTATCACATTCATATTGAAAATCGACAATTCATTCCTGGAGACATGTCTGACACTTGTGGGATGTATCCATAATTTAAAATTAAATTTCATTATTTCGGACACATGGTCGATGCATTCTAGACATTTCGAACACAAGTCTTTTCAAACACAAACTGTCTAATGATAGCCACGCCTGACAACGTTGTAAACAATATAACACCTTAAAGTTCCAACTTTTTTTCCTGTAAGAAAAACTGACATTATTCGCATAGTCTACACAAGTCAAGCATGCAATGGATCTTTTCATATAGGAAAAAAATATAATTGTAATCATAAAGCAGCGGAGTAGTAGCATATATTATATAATAATCTTTACGATATTCGCATAACTTGATCTTCTAAATTATCTAATTCTTAGTATATAAATTGAAATTTTAATTTAACTTCTACAGTTGCCTTATTCGAGCAATGCATATAAATAAAAGCTTATAATTATATATAGCTGTGTTCGTATTGTATCATGTGTTTGTCTCAATGGCCTAGGGTGTCCAATTTGGTTCATATTTTGGAGAAATATCCTATATCATGCTCATGTTATGAAATTTAAATTCAAATAATTCACATTTCATCATTAACCTACTGGCCACCAAAGTCCCATTAAATAACCCTAGGCAGCATCCCTTCCAATGTATGCTGTGAATACAAACATTTCACAAAATTATCGCAGAGTCATTTTAGCAAACAGCTTACGTACCCATGAACACAATATATATATATATATATATATATATATATATATATATATATATATATATAACAAGAATGAACAAAAGAAAATAAACACAATTTGTAGCTGAAAATGGTCAAATGGTAACATTACTTGAGAAGAATGGGAGTGACAATCTGGGCCTTGCCCATTGGCAGGAGATAGTTTCTGTAATACCCAGCTTTGACGTCCAAAAGTTCACCTTTCTTGCCCAAATCTGCTACATCCTCCTTCAGAATGATCTGACCCAGTGACCCACCCACCACCAGAAAGAAACCCATTGAAATTTAGGCATATAAATGATGAATGATACAAATTTGAGCAAAATTAAAACGAACCCATTTGATTTTGTGTAATATATTTGTTGTTACCTTTCTTGCTTTCTTAGCTTTCTTTTGAGCCAACACTACCATGGCTGAGCCTCTACCTGAGATTGGTGTGGTTTCATTGATGTTTTTGGCTAAGCTATGACTATGAAACCATGAGGAACAACTACTCCAAGACAGACTAGCTGCTGTAGACGCCATTGCCACACTCGCTTGCCTCTTGTTCTCTCTTTGAGATCTTATCCAGTGTGTATTTTGTTACTATGCAGGGAAAAGAAAAGCTAGTCTCACTGCGAGGGTTCGCAAATCGCAATACTTGCACAAAACACACACAACGCGGATAAGTGAATTTAAATTTTACTGGATTTTTTTAAAAAACGAGTGTTCTTATTATAAACGGACCTTAATAATGTAAAATTTTAATTCAAAGGGTCATGTGCCCATTTATTAATCAGGTTTCACAATTCGTGTTATATCATATGTTTAATATTTTGTAATTATAATATATTTTTAGTACGAATAATAATAATTAATATAATAAAATATTTATATGATGATTTGAATACAACCCAAAATCATATAACTCTTACCACTAATTTCTTCAGACTTTGCACTAGTGAAAGATTTGGGCATCGTGCTGGACTTGTTTTTTCGGATTAGACATTTACAACGAGCAATGGGAGTCTAAATTAGAGGCTGACATATGTCGATCTTAGTAATGGTATTTTCAATGGTAATAATAGTAACCCGACACGAATTGGAGACTATGTACTCCCTCCGTTTCAATATAAGTGTCACTTATGGGGAGTAGTAATTTTTAAGGGGACACGTGGGATCATGTATTATCTGTCTGAAAAATTACTATGTTGCTCTTTTAAGTTTTAAATATTGAAGTTTGAAATTTAAACTCAAAGGATATTTTTAGAATAATGTAAAATATATTGTCTAAAAAAGAAAAATAGACACTTATTTTGAAACGGACAAAAAAAAAAAACATGACACTTATTTTGAAACGAAGGGACTACTATATAACTTGATACCAAACCAAACTTGAACAACTCATATCTAATCCGACTAATGTGAGTTTAGTTATATGATAAGTTGGGCTTGGGCTCAAGTCGATCTCTTAACTGATCCAACCAGCCGTCCTTAGGCGGACCAAAGTCGTCTGTGATGCCAAGGCTACACCTACACGTATGAGTTTTGTAGTTAATTAGCTATAGGGTATACCAGGTGCCCTCTTTCAGGGAACATAGCTTGCTTGTGCTAAATTTATTTTTGCAAAAAAAAAAAAAAAAAAAAAAAAACAAAGGGTTGAGATAATACTCAGTTTCATAGTCTTGTTGGCTTCGGCATCATAATCAAGACAGACTAAGAATCCTGATCCGATATGAAACAAAAACTCCTAACATAGAAGTAATCCATCAAATATTATTTCATAATCTTGACTTTTGAACTCTGCCCCTTTGTGCACTTGGCAGTGGATAGGGAACAAATTTAGATAATCTTTTAACCTAGTTAACCTCAAACAAAATATATGTATATATATATGAGCATGACATATTCGAAACTCAATAAATTATGATGGCGACTTAGTCAATGATCATGTTATCTGCAAATTAAATTCACAAAAATGAAAATGGAGGAGTTCGGACGGCTTGATTTGTAACTGTTTTCATAGAATTGAATTGAAAAAAAATAAAAAATAAAAAATAAAAAATTGTTCAAAAATTCTACTTGATTCAGTTCTTTTGAGAACTCAGCTGTAAAAATACATATTTTTAGATAACTGTCTTTTATACCTTTCTAAAAATATATATATATATATATATATTTGAATTATTGAGAACTTTTTTCGAAATTACAAACCAAACACATCATATACTATGTTAACGAGAGTGAGCATGTGAGATTACAACATTTATTTTAGGACCAAAACATACTTTGGAGTCAATTGTATGTTTGTTAAATTGAAGTTAAAATAAAATTTTTTTTTTTAAAACATAATAATTAGTGTTGCGAAATTAAATAGAAAACACAAGAAAGATCAAAACACACACAAAACAAGAACACACTGATTTTACTTAGTTCACCCAAAAGTCCAAAGGTTGCATGAATTTCAATATGATGATCAAAAACTGCAACGGATACAGAGAGTTCAGATTGAATAAATGCCATCCCATTAGAGCTACATAACAAGTTCGAAAATAGTTGAATCCGCGGAGTTGTGCCTTAGTGTATAGTATTCATCAGGCTCCACACTATGCATCACTTAGGTGCTGAGGTAATTTAGCATAAAAAATAATTTACTTTATTATATCAAAATTGTACATTGACATGGTATAAAGTTGCAGTGTTGTGAGCCATCCGAGTTACTTCCCCTTTGTACAACACATACCACATTACAGATGATTCGTGTTGATCAAGTGCATGTATATTCAAGTAAGTCACCAAACCCTTTAAATTACATGCTGTCAAGCCCATTATTGTCTACTATTATTTAGTGAAATTCGTCAATTATTCGTCTGTTAACCACGCGCCTATTTAGGGTGGAAATATTTAAAAAATGAGTAATGCTATGAAACATGAAACCTAACCCATCAAAGTTTTAAAAGGCTTCTATTGGTCATCTTTGAGATTTTATTTATTATTTAGAAAAAGAAAACGAAAAAAGGGTTTAGATACATAGTTTAAGTAGCCTTCGTGGACAGCCAGAAACGAAAGCTCACAAGTCACGCCTCACGTGACGTGGGTAATCTCTCATATTGGCTTCTGTGTGCATATAATAACCATTCTTGTCTTTTGATCCATTCAACTATTGCACGTAAAGAAACTCAAAGAGCAGAGGGGAAATAAATAAATGAGAAATTATTGTTAAAAAATACAATTATAAATAATAAATATAAATTTGTTTGAATTTTCGAGATAAGTAATAATGATACATTTTTCGAATTCGAAAAATGTCAAATGAAAGATATTACATGGCTCTCACACAGCATATAATCTACATCCTCAAAATTTGAAGAATGTATCATATTTTTATTTTGGCTCGGATCCCTGAATCATCTGTCCGATACAAGTGGACTTGGGCAGCAATGTTCTGACCCCCTGAACTTGGATTTGGGCCTTGATATTGTATATTGGTAGATTAACTAACTCGCACAATAATAATGGTGTGCAATTAGATATTATTCGGCCCCAGGAATCTATGAATGGTGTCACTTGTAGGATTAGAACGGCTTTGGAATAATTTAATTCATTTCATTTATTGGATTTTGTATGGGCTAATGAGGGAAGAGTGGTTAAGCTTCACGGTTCATCCCAACAACAGAACGGCTCTTATAATAATAACAATAATGTTACTTGGACGGCGTGGTCCAAAACCATTCTGAGCTGCCATTGAAAACTTGTAATTAATAAATTCGCCACGGATCAGCTTGAAAAGGTCGTCGTTATCTTAACTGAGGATGGCCCATTTGAAATTTTCAACTCATGTTTTACATTATATAGAATAAATAAATAAAATTAACCCAGTTTCGAGACTCTTACTATTGCATATCCAAGAATGATTTGATGTATGCGAGGCCACACACATATATATGGATACATATATGAAAAACGGTTTGGTAAATGTTTTGTTTTAACTTGAAACAAAACAAATGTCTTGTTACAAAGAGTGTTTTGAATAATAATAAAAAATATCTATTTGTTCTAAGAATTTCGGAAGTTAAAACATAAAACATATTTGGTAAAAAAATATTGTAAGTTTAAAAAATATAATGATTAGTTAAAAAATTCATTTAAGAGTTTCTTGTTTTTAAAAAAAAAAATCATTGTTCATTTTTATACTGTGCAAAACAAAATAGTTTCTACCAAACAAGTTTTTTTAATGTTCACAGCTATAATATACTATAAAAATAAAAATACCAAAAACATATCACATACCAAAATGGCCCTTAGAATTCTTGGACAACTTTGATGTAAGTGGAAGGCATGAGATCCACCACTCACATCCATACTCTCCACTCACACCAAAAACAAAACGCATACCAAAAAAAATTCTTAGAGTGTTTTGAATAGTAATCAAAAGCATATTTAGTAATATCTATTTGTTTCAAAAAATTTAAAAGCAAAAGCATGAAACATATTCGGTAAAAAAAGTATTTGCAAGTTTGAAAAATATAATGATTAGTTTAAAAATATTATTTAAGAATTTTTTTTTTTTTTTTTTTTTAAATAATTATTGTTCATTGCTACATTACCAAACGATACAGTTCTATTTACTGTGCAAAACAAAACAGATTTTACCAACCTGGTTTTTTTCACTGTTCACTGCTACAGTACCTACCCAAAAAAAAAAAAATTGAAAAAAATGAAAAAAAACAACCAAAAACAAAATAAGTCCACTCTCCACTCACATTAAATAAGTCGGAATTGCCGCCTTTCAGACTCCCCACTCATATAAAAAAAATTACCTCACTGCACAAGACTTCCACCATTACTGGTAGACACGCAAAGATACATACATGCATACATACGCACACAGGGATAGATTAAATACCATATCGGATGTCCAACGTTGAAGAAAATAATATGGTAGGAATAAATGGGTAAGCATTATTAGTTTAATCAATGTGAGTTTCGTCAAAATCCCTTTCTCCACTTCAGGTTTGTCCCAATGTGAGACTGGTGGTACTCAAGGGAGGTCTTAAGTGGGGATGAGTTGATGAAGCTCATAGTTGACTTGTATATCTCTCTTACTAAATCTCCTGTGTTCTGTTTGTTGCTACGTTATCAGAAAGCAAATTAATTACTTGCTATGATTTCCTATATAAACACTTCAAACTTTTCAGAGAAGAGATCAAAAAACAATCTACAAAAAAGAAGAATAGCAAATAGAGAGAAAGCCACATTGGAGGAAGAGGAAGAAAACTTCTTGAAGATGCTTAATTCAGGAGGCACTTCTTGTTTCCAAAATGGGTCACAAGGGTTGCAGACCTATGGAGATGTCACCCAAGATGTTCTTTCATCGGCTCTTGAAGCATGCTCGGTCTCCGAAGCACACTCAAGCAATCTCCTCTACAATCTCTCATCTCTCAAAGCCAAAGTTCATCAAGTGCAGTCATTGATCAGCATCTTTATCTTTCCTGATCAAAGCCAACCAACAGTATCAACAACCTTAACCATGGCTACCGTTGCCACTTTAATCCAAGAAATTATTGCCACCGCGTCATCCATTATGTTCACCTGCCAACAGATAGCTCTTGGTGCAACTCCGGCCACCAATAACAACGATGAATCGCACCATCAAAGCGTTAATAAGCTTCCCAGTGGCATATTATCTGATCAACCAAGCTGCGATGGAGACCACCAGGTTATTATACAGGAAGGAGATGAAAGAGAGCAAGGCTTTTATTCTGGTGAGACCACCCTTGATTGGTTTGGTGATAACTATAATACATCATGTAATACGAATGACGATAATAATCAAAATATGGTTGTTAGCAGCAGTAATGGAATGGAAAGGAGCTTGGGATTGCGTCAAAAGAGCAAAATTGGTGAAGGGATTTCGCCAAAGAATTATGACATCATCGAGTTGGACGCTGCAGAATTGTTGGCCAAGTACACACATTTTTGCAGAGTTTGTGGGAAAGGGTTCAAGCGCGATGCAAATTTGAGAATGCACATGAGGGCTCATGGTGACGAGTACAAGTCTAATGCTGCTTTGATCAATCCCATGAAGAGCAATAAAGTAGGTTTGATGGAAAACAATGGAGGCCCGATGAAATTGCCTAGAAAATATTCATGTCCACAAGAAGGGTGCAGGTGGAATCGAAAGCACGAGAAGTTTCAGCCACTGAAATCCATGGTTTGTGTGAAGAATCACTACAAGAGGAGTCACTGCCCGAAGATGTATGTCTGCAATCGCTGCAACCGGAAGCAGTTCTCGGTGGTATCGGATCTACGGACACATGAGAAGCACTGTGGTGATCATGTCAAGTGGAAGTGCTCATGTGGTACCACATTTTCTAGGAAAGATAAGCTTATGGGTCATGTTGCTTTGTTCTTGGGGCACACTCCAGCTATGGATTCTTCGATGATCGGAAAAGTTGAACAACGTGGAGAACAAATGCAATCATGTATGCAATAGATAAGTTCCAAGTCCTCATGCGTGTGTCCCTAACAAAAACATGTATGCGATATGTAACGATGGGTCATCAACTGTTTCCTATTGTATTTAGTCAATGTAACGTATTAGCAAATCTTAGTTTGATTAGTTAGCTGGGTTGCTGGAATGACTTCGTAATTTTGATCTTTGTCTAAGTTCATAGGGCTATAAGTATCTTTTAGTCTCTAAACTCTTTTCCTTCAGTGACATATTATGCTATTTTATAAATGACAGCTTATGTTGTAAATCTTTGCACAGGACCTTTTGCTTTGTTGGAGTTTCAATTTCTATATTGTATATGTGTTTGTTTTTACCTCCTACTGAATTATTTCCCACCGAAACAGCACCTAATTGTTTGTGATAGTATTTCAAATTGAAAAACCTCATCTCATAAATTGTGAGTCCAAAGTTCAATAATCTCCATTTCATCTATTCTTCATTATTCTACAAGTATGCACTGAATTCTACAGATTGAAAACAGTTAATTGTGCTTACAATTTCAGCATTTACATAATCAACATGTTTAATGTTGTAGACAACAGTTTATAATTCCTAGTATGATGGATGTACCATTACTGGTAGCCTCTAGACCCTGTTCTTTTATTTATTCAATATCAGCATGGACGTAATCAACAAAAACAAAATTTTTCTGGAGTTCATGCAAAGCATAAGCCAAGCCAGCACTTACAATTGCAAGTCCACCCAAAATAGTCCGCAACTGCAATTCTGAAGGAATCCCAGCTGTTGCAGAACAAATAACAGCTGCGGCAATTAGGAACTTTTGGAACGCCTGGAATTTTGTGTAAGCTCTTCTACATGATGAACACTTAAGAGTGTGCTGCTCGTATCTATCCAACATCTGTGGCATCCAAAATGCATATCTTTATAAATATTATACTACAAACAAGCACAATAAAAACATGAAAACTTTATAAAATGCTTTCTGAACAACAAATGTCTAAAAACCCCACAGAAAAGAAATAATTCCAAAACATTCATAATGATTTATACTGTCCTGTAATGATGGCCTGATGGAGAAAGAATACCCGAAATCTTATAAAACAATCCCTAATTCAATTAGCTAATATAATTGTATCGCCCTATAACCCTCCCTCAGAAACCTCCACTTCATCTCCACAACTAAACACAGTCATCTACTTCATTTTTGTCAGTATTTTATTTCATTAAGCATGCTGTTCAGCATTTCAACAAACAAAAAAAAAAAATTTATTTCAACTCTTACTTTTATATAGCCAGTGGCAGTGAAGAGCAATGGGTGGCATAATGCCCATAAATGAATCAGATACAATACCTGATGTTTGGATAGGACTATTGAAGGCAACGGTTGTTGGTGGTTAGGGCCGAACCACTCAGGTTGGCTGTTGCCATGTCGCCTCAGCCAATTTCGAAATGCCAAGACAAAACGATCAGCTTGTGTAGGTGTAAATGTGATTTTCGAGTACTGCTTGTTCACATCACCAGAACCTTCCATCGACTTTGAAAGAAAAACTTTCTCTTGACCCTGAAGCACAATCATGTCTCCGTCATACACCTTGTTTGAAGTCCAATGCTCATGCCATCTAGGAACCACCTGACACAAAAAGGTACAAGGCAAGCTTATGAAATTGAGAGAACAACAACATGAGTTCCAGTGTCAGTCTGCAAGCTCCTTAAATGAGAAGATGTCTTCAAGCAGAAAGTTCACTTCGATTTCTAAAGAATAAAAACTATATAATTTAAATTTTTTATGGAAATTAGGAAGAATGACAAAAGGAAGGAGATAATCTTGCTTTTGAGCATCCACATGCAAGTTTAAATTCAAGTGATTTGACTTATCTAACCAAATATTGTCTCAGTGGGTCAATAAATCCTATCCTATCCCAGCAGACACGGAGAAGATTTGATGAATGTATAGTTGACATTACTGTTGGAGTAATATTCGGAAGAAGGTTACCACATCCAGACCCTTTTAGGAATAAAAATATTTCAAGCTTCAAATTTCATACAAATTGCTATCATCAAAGAACTGCTAAACAAGCCATGACATAAGAGAGGTTATTACAAAACTTCAGTTTAATACTTATTATAAGAATTTCTTAAAAGGATCTAACATGCATCATTATTACCATGAAAAAAGTGTTTCAACCCCCCCGCCCCGCGGTTTTGTCTTTAAAAACTACTGCCCAACTCTCTTTTTTTTAAATTAATAATATTGTATTAGAAAGCAATCAAATGGGAACACATCCCACAAAAGCTACCAAAGACCAAAAAGGGGCCCTAAACTCTCAACATGTCCAAAAAAACCAACTATCTCCCCCATTGCAACTCTTTAGGCCAAAAAGTTCCTAAGAATTTACCTCTTTTAATATAGCACTACAAGCCAACATAGATAAGGTGCATTTTCTTAAAAGAGTGCAACCAACAATAATTTAAATGGAAAACAAATGAAAAGGCTGAAGGTAGATCATGATTAAGAGAAAGACCATCTAGGTTAGTCTGAACTTTGCACCTATGAGATACTACAATCAAACAATCACATTTGAAGGAACAGCTAAAGAGTCTTCACCTGCCACCATGCAGGACCTGGCATTGTGAACTGGAAGAAATTTCGAGCACTACAAACAATTGACCGGGTCTTCCCAGGTGCCATTGGTACATTGAAGGAACAAATCCATATTATCCATTTTTGATCACCCACAATGGGAAGCTTTGTGTCAATCTCTATTCTGAATATAAATAAATAATAATTAAAAAAAAATAGAGCAATGATAAATGCAAGTATACATCCAACATGTACTGACGCCTATGCACCATGTTCAGTGAAAAATTACAAATTTTTCAGTGTCTAAGATGAGAATAGTTAATCTAATATATAGAGGAAACCAAAGTACTACATAAATAAAACTTACATATATGACGTCAATTGATTTGAACAATAGAAATGTAAGGATAGTTTAGACGGCTGGATGAAATTCTGCTTATTAACGTGTACATCACATGCACATGAACCAGACAAATCTTAGGCATGTGCCATGAGGTGCACAATTTATATTCATCAAACACTTTTATAAGCTGTTAATTACTTTAGCAATGTAAACAAAACTTTGTAAGCTGGGATGAAACAGGTGATGTATGCAAGTTGTAGTACTTTATTGAGTGATGAACTTACTTATTAATGTAATAACAAGGTGCAACAAATTTAGCACTGATTTTGGGAATATCATCATTTGACCCAGCAAAGCCCCAGTGGCCAGTAGACTCCATCTTAAATGGCAAAGGCTTGGCTCTGTCTCTCCTCCCTGTAACCTGTAGAGTGATTCCCCATTATTAACAGTCTAAAAGACTTAGTTTATGGTACATTCAGTAGCTCGGCATGTGTAACCAAAAATATACAAAATAAAGAATTTACGAATTATTATTCATTTTGCAGGAGAAAAAGAGGATATAAAAACACACTATCTATAAATTGTTTCTACACATGAAGTCATTATACCATGATCAGAGGTTCCCATCAATATGAAGCCCCAAACGCCAGCCATTCTCTTAAGGGTTTGTGATGTAATGAAAAATAAGAAACTCGCTAGAAGTTGAAGATTTACATGCAGACGAGAGAGAGAGAGAGAAGGGGGGGGGGGGGGGGGGGGGGGGGGGGGAAGGAAATTTTGCTTTATAATCCTTGTGTAATCTGGCAGTTTTTTTTTTTTTTTTTTTTTTTCGTAAGTGGTGTTAATATGCCAGTTTCTATTCATGAAAAAATAATAATAACAATTCTGCCAGTTTCTATGCCAACTTCAACACCACTTTGTCTTACTGAGCGAAAGGTATGGAGTAATATTGTATACCAACTTCAACACCACTATCTATATTCAATTGACAACCTTTTCCCCTTTATTAAATCAACCATGTCCTGAAATATTACATGTCTAACATTCAAGCTACATAGAACTTTAATAGCCAAATATTTGGTAGAGGTCATCAATTTCCTATACTGAATTGTGCATTGTAGACTACTGGGAGCTTTCTTTCTGCCGGCTCTCCAAGCAGTATCTAATGACCAGCTCAAACAATTGCAGGAACATAGTAATTCAAGCTTTTAGATGCCATGTAAGTTACTATGATACTAAGCCTTGAGAACAAAAATGTGATCCGGAAATATAACGTCCATGGACCATGGAGACATCATATAGATTTGCTTGTTATTAGTGACAGATTGCAGCGTTGCAAAGGTACAATGGACCCAAAACTTATTTAGTAAGTATGTCTTTATGAGTCTAAAAACGGCCTCAGAAATGAATTTCTACCATCACTTCATAAAGTACTATAAGGAGTCTGCTTATTTTTATTATTTGGTATCTGACATCTTTTATAGTATCTTAGAAATTTCTTGGACTTTTTTCACCTTAAAAGGTATCTTCCTTCGGATACGGATCCTCTCCTTGGGACATCTCTCTCCTGCTCTCTCCAAAACTAATCTGAAGGCTACTATTAAAACACTTCATTCATAAAGACACATCATTTGCCACATCTCTCTTTCCCTCTTTCTCTCTCCTCTCAACCTCTCTCTAAATCTTAGATACTAAGACCAAAATTTTCTCTTCCCTTTTCAGTAATTTTCATACCTTTATAGTATTATGCATAAAATAGGGACCAAGCTATGAACATTTGATTCCTAAATAGTGACTGATGGGATTTTATAAGCATATATAAGTTTAAAATCAAGTATTACCTTGTGATGAGCAAAATCAATGTGGGAAGGATCGGAGACATTTTCCATGAGAGTATCGTAGCCGTAGAACAAATCACGCTGAATCGTCACCGTTGAAAATTCAGGATTATTAAAGTCATCAGGCAACCTAAACAATCCCCAAAAGAACAATAACACTTCAATAAAATACTCAGAACTCAAGCATTCATGTTCTATGAGAAAAATAAAAAAATAAACATAAGGGAACCATTACTTCATTAAACTATATCCAATATATATAAATATAATGTGCGTGGGGAGGCTTGGTAAGAATGAATTACATAGGAGGCTTGGTAACACGAGCTCGTTCCAAACCGTTCTCATCAGGCCAAACGAAGAGCAAACCCTGAGAGACCATGGTGGGAAACTTGGTGGCACAGGCTCTCGGAGATCGAACAGCCCGAGCTTCAGGCCCCTCCGTCGCCGCCTGAGGGATCCGAACACAAGATCCGCACCGATCAAAAGACCAACCGTGGTACGAACACTGCAAGTCCCCATTTTCATCTATTCGTCCTTCCTACAAGAAAACCAAAACCAATCTTCAAAATTCCCAAAGATTACCAAAAACCCTAAACTCACAATTTCGTGGGGAGGACTTCAATTGAGGGGCATACAGAGAGAGGGGCGAGTCGATGAGGGCATTTGTCGTCGAAGGCGACCCATTCGGAGGTGGATCGGTCGAACCAGAGGACGAGGTCGCGGTTGAGAAGCTGGTATGGGGTCGGGGAATTGGGGTCGAGGTCTTCGATGAGAGAGACTGGGTACCAATGGTCTCTCCAAGAGAACTTGGATGAGGAAGTGTCGTCTTTGTCTTCATCTTCGACTTGGAGTTCAATTTCCTGGTATTGATCTTGTTCTTGGGAAAGTGTGGTGGTGGTTGGTGATGGTGGGGTTGGAGGAGCAGCGACTCGGGTAGGAGGGAGAATTGTTCGTCTGGTTGATGTGGAATGGATTAGGGTTTTGGTGGAACGAGGAGAAAGAGAGGTACGGAATGATGGTGTTGAAATAGCTGTAGCAAAAGGTGTTGTTGAGAGTAGTGAAGCCATTTTCAGCTGAGAATTCAGTACACTTGTCAAGTAAATTTTGTACGGTTAGCTTTATTCATTCAAAATGTATGCACGTACGAACTATGTAGTATGTAGGGGTTTGTGTGTTTTAGAGAGAGAAAGGTGCGTGGTAGAGAGAGAGAGAGGGGAATAAAGAAAAAGAAGGCGGCTTTGCGTGCAAGTTTGCAATGGCTCTCTAGAACCATCGCAGAGAGGACAGACCAGAAAGCGAACCATATGTTGAATGATTTTTTGTTCATGTACAGTTGAGCTCATGGTGGTGTTAGTTAAAATTCAACAAACGAAAATCTGCCACACAGGAGATTGAGGTCGGGGCATAAACGTCATTCCAGTGAATCTATCCCACTAAGTCAAGAACTGCTACACCTTCCACACTGACCACAGCTGATGTGTCGTGAGGCTAGTGGTAGCAAAGTTTGCTGTAATGAAGTGCCGACCATCTTTGCCAAATAAGAGACTCAGATCACGTCCACTTGTTTGTACTTTGAAGATGTAGAGATGATATTAGTCATTGTCACGACTGACTCTTGGGCCTCCTTTCATTTTTGATCATTTTTCAATTTCGCAACTTGAGTATCATACCAATTACATTTTATTATAAATTCAAATAAATAATGAGTGAGGAGTCGCGATAATTACAATGAAGATTTGTACTGAATAATCAAATTATTTTTAATTAGTTATTTATGTAAAAAAATAAATAAGCACAAATCATGTTTACTAAATATAATTTTACATTTCAATTTTAAGAAAGTCCTCTTTTAATGAAAAAAAGAGAAAGTGAGTATTTATTACTTTTTACAGTATAGACAAAAAGAAACTGCAACCCTTTTCTTATACTCACTCATAATCTTCATTTTACTTTTTGTTTCATCCTAAGAAATTAGAATCGTTATTTTATTTTCTTAGAAAGTAAAAGTAGAATTAATTCTTACTAGTGAACAGACCATTATTGTTGTATAAATGATCAATTAAAATAATAAGTTTAATAATTCACCACAACTACTTGATACAAAATCATTTTTCATAAATAATATATTTCTGGAAACCAAAAAATTGAGTCATTTAGGGGCTTAGATTGTGTCATTTAATGGTTGGTTTGAATTTCTAAACTTCTCTCTCCCAACATTTCCTTCCTTTGCAGCACAATCTTCTTTTAAGTGTTTGTATTGTATTCTTTAATGAGTAACAGGTTCAAGTGTAAAGTGTTTGTTCGATTCAATCTCTATGAATAAGGATATACACTTTTAATAGTAAATGACCTTTTATGTACTACAATGACGATAACACTGATGTAGCACAGAGACACTGAGCCAGCCGACCAATGTTCAGATCAAAAAAATGAAGAACGAAGGAGAGAATCTTGCGTTTTTTCAGATAATATGTCACATTCAATCCATACAAACAGATATCATGGGAAAATAACAAATTCAATAGGATGAAGCCCAACCCTATACCTCATTAAAGGAAGAGTTTCACATCATTCGTTGATGCAGATTAGTTTTGTGCTATGAACAGAATGTTCCCATGGAAAATGACCCGGCTTAGTTTTGTGCTATGAACAGAATGTTCCCATGGAAAATGACCCGGCAGGGTCAAACTCTTTTTTTTTTAGCTCTACTCAGGGATCCACGGATCATTACTGCAGTAGAAATTGTCAGTTCATTTGTTAGGGCGAATGCTACCTGTAACATGACAAACATGGATAGATAGGGTTCAACAACACATCTATAGGAAAGTAAGGGAGATTATGTCTAATCCCATGTCACGTTTAGCAAAAGAGCAAATCAGAATTTCAAGCAGTTCGTTTGAGTAAAGAAGAGTTGTAACTTCTTAACCACATGCACAACAGAGTGAAAGATACTCGGTCAATTCAAATAATCACATCTCAAAAACACAGTTAGCGCCATGCAACTTGTAACATGACAAATATGGATCTGATCAGGTTCAACAACACATCTGTAGCAGGGTAAGGGAATATCTCTAATCCATTTCACATTCATTAAATGGCAAATCAGAATATTAATCAGTCCGTTTCTGTAAAGATGAGTTCTAACTTCTTATCCACATGCAGAACAGAGTGCAAGACACTCGGTCAATGCAAATAATCATATCTCAAAGAAAACAGTCAGAGACATGCTGCCTGTAACGTGACAAATATGGATATCATTGGGTTCAAACTACACACCAGTGTAACTGTAGAAGAGTAAGGGAGATCTCTCTAATCCATGTCACGTTAATCAAAGTGCAAATCAGAAAATTAAGCAGTTCATTTGTGTAAAGATCCACATGCAGAATAGAGTGCAAGACACTCGATCAATGCACACAATCATATCTAAAAAAATAAAAACAGTTAGCACCATGCCTACCTAGCAAATTCTAAATTACTGTACTAAATTGTGACGACAAATGGCACAAACAAATGAGAATTTCAGGCCCTTGACAGATTTCCCAACAAACTTGACATTGGACAATTATGCAGCTAGAGTAACAAGCACAGTAAGTGTGAACTAAATGCATAAAAAGAATTAATCAAACGGACCAAAATAATTATGATAGATGTGTTCCAAAATACAACACAAATAAACATGCAAGAGGAAGGACTTTGAAGAGCAACCCACTCAAATTCACTGTAACTAGATCAATGCTTGAGAAATGGAGATTGTGGACTTTGCATCAAGTAAGTTATGCCATGAAAGTTCTGTCACTGTCATTTAAGGGCTAACACATCACACAAATTATGGTTCGTCCTAATACTCCAATCACAACCCATTCCTTAGCATAACATAATACCTCAGATTGAGGATTTGGAAGACAGTTCAACTACTATCTCAGTAAACAAACTCAGCCTAAAAAAATTTACAATTTATCTAATCTGTTATAATCAAGCAAGATTATCCCATACTTTAGCATAATAGTACCAACAAATTTGACTCAAAGTGAGATCATCCAATAGTGTCTCCCTCTGATCTTCAAAAGCAGAAAAACCAGAAACAAAAAATACAATTACAAAGCAAAGCATTATAGAGACGCAATCAACACCAAATGAAAACATTAAACAAAAGCATATCCCTTATATAAGTTCGTTGAAATAATTCCCCTAAAACACAAGTTTACTACCAAGCACCAATGACATCAGTGTCATCAAACAAAAGTTTTAACCTGAAATTCTCCAAGGCAAAGAGAATCAAACAGTACAGTACCAAGCATTTCATAACATCGCAATCTTGAACCCTAAGTATCATATCATGTGTTCATTTCTAGAGGAAATGAAAAGGCTATTACAGAGAATTTATAGAAGGGTAACAATTTTCACTTGACAAGCATGTTTTGCTGAGCTTGGCTCTCCTGTTGCTGCTGAAAGTTCAGAGGCCTCCTGAAGAGCATGATGTGAGGCTCTGGTCGATGAATCGCATAGTGCACCCAACCTCGGCTCTGCTGAACTCCAATTGCACGCCACTCATTCTGTAATACCAAATCAAAACAAAGGAGCAATTTTAATATCAAAAAGGATATAGCATGTACGTACTTTTCTAGGTCCAAAAAAAAAATAGCAATTTGTTTTTGTTTGGTTATTCAAAGAATTGAAACAAAATAAATGATATTCTTTCAATTCTTAAATTTCAACTCTCTAAATACAAAACAAAGAAAGAGTAAGAGTTGTAAAAAATAGAAATGTGAGTATTCTAACAACCACATAAAAAGTACATGTAAAACCTCCGTTGGGGAACTCAAACTGCTTAAACAAAATGAATTGATTTTGACTTCCGCTGGTACCACATAATAATAGGAATATTAACAAATATATTTTCCTTTCCTTCATTTTCTTAGAAACCGAACAGATAAAGGTGTTGTAGGAAAAAATAAACCAAACGAAATTCGGTAAAACCCTAATTCAATTGCCAATTACTAAATACATTACTTCAGAGAGAAGCCGATTCTTTGGGAGCAATTTGGCCACTTCAGGAGGAAGAACCACATGCCTGAATCAACAATCGGAAGACGAGCCTCATGTGAGAAAAACGAAGTTCACAAGAAATCGAAGAACCAAAGCCAAATCAAGAAATCGAAGAACCAAAGCCAAATCAGAAAAAAAAAAAACTAAGGAAGAGAAATTACCTGTACTCGAAGGTATCGTCAAAGTACTTCTCGGAGTACTGGATCTGACCCATCTCTGGCTGTTCTCGTTTCGATTTTCGAATTCAATCGCTTTGAAGAGAGTAGAGTGGTGTTCGAATCGCCACTTGATCTGAGAAATGAAACAAAAGAAAGGCAATGACTATTAACAAAAATTACGAAACCCTAATTTTGATTTAAGAAAAGAGCGATACTCTGAGCAACCAACAGAGATGCGGTGATGTACCTTTTAGAGAGAATAACAAAATAAAAAGATGAGAGAATGATGATATATAAAAAGGGTGAGAAGACGGAATATAAAAGTTTACAGGGGTCAGATAGTAAAACTATTATTTCTTGAAATGTTCTAGTAGTATTATAGGCAAAAAGAAAATGCTTGGTTTGAATTTTAAATTTTGAATATGTTCCCGCTCAATTGGAGCCCTAGTGACTTCATAACGGCACACTTGGTAATAACGGTGCATTGTTTCAAATCTGACTAAACGATAATATTTGACTTCTTTTATTATTTTTTTCCCCGCAAGGAGCGTGATAATTACATTGTCTTAAAAAACTAATTAGCTGGCTGATTTATTAATTTGAAATATAACTTACAAATCAAATTTAACTTTAATTTACATAGAGTTTGGAGAGTAGGCTCATTAAAACCATTAATTATCATCAAACAAGAAGACATACATCAACTGTTTTCTTTCTTTAATGTGGGTGCATTGTACCAAAAAAAAAAAAAAAAATTACACAAATAAAATAGAAAGCTAAGGGATATTAAAAATTCGAGTTTCTAGTCTTTGTGTTACAAATGATAAATGTACAAAGCATATAATAGTAAAAAATGATAAATACGGTATTGCATTTTATGTGAGTGACTAATAACAAAATCGTGACATCATCAATCATGATAGTCCGAAAATCCGACCATGTATCATAACTCTAGAAATCAAACTCCCTATCACAATTCTAAAATAATGCATCACACTTCTAAAATAACGTTAATTTGATTTGCAAGGCTTTAGACTAGAATGATAATGCTATAATATTCACCAACAAATGCGGTTCTGTCTATAATACAAAAAGTGAATAAAACTTAAAACCACAAAACATACAGCAATTTATAGCTCCCCACAAAAGATAGACGTTAAACAGAAGGCGTATTAAATTTGCTATAGGTTTTAATTCAAAACCAGATCATCATCATCATCATCATCATACTTGCATTGATTCAGAACCAGATCCAATTTCAGAATTCAAAAGAATGATTAGTTGCGGTAGAAGCGGGAAAACACTGAATAAAAGAATTTGAATCCCCTACTCAAAAAACAAAAAATGACAGCTCTGCTATCTGATCTCCAGCTTCATGGTTAGTCCCTCCAGTAACAGCTGCAACTACTACTGTGTATATTCATCTACGGGCTGAGATTTCTTCTCTCTTCTACCTTTTTCTATTTGCTACCAAAAAACATATGGGTAATGCCCCTTTCTCCTTTACATAAAAGACGGCGACCCCTGTACACTTCACAAAAAGACGGTGACCCTTCTATTTACAAATTCTTTATCTCATCGACCTGTGCAACTGGTTTATGAAGCATAGATGTCCCTTGAAATACCATCATCTGGTAATCTTTTCTATACTTATTCAGCTGCAGGACAAAAAAACATGCATATTAGACTTAAATTCATGTGCTCGAGACGAAACCACAAAAAAATTGCACGTACCTCATCTTCTGCCAACTTTGCAAATCCAAACTTTTTTGTCCAAATGGACTCTGCTTCGTCAGCAGCAGGGAGCACAAGGTTTTTGATGTGCAGGGATCCAAGTAGGTTTTCAATACAAGAGAATAACGACTGAAAATACCCCTACAAGCACAGTAAATTCTAAAGATCAGAATAGCTGTTCGTCTAAATTTTTGGCATATTTAATACAACATAAAAAACTAGAAGCAATGAAGAATTCCAAAGCACATAAAAAGGTCATCAGCTCAACAGCCCATTACTCTCACCTGTCCTTGACAATCAATAGTAGTTGCAACTAAAGGAAGTTCGGCTACTTCCTGTCCAAAAATACGAAAAATTCCAGCGGAAACAACTGACGAACTGCATAGAAAATGGAGGATATCATTCCAAGAAAAAAATACTTCTCAAAAAAATAAAAGATAAAGAAAAGGCAAAGAATATCAACTAAGCATTTAGTAATGATTCTCACTTCGCTGTTAGTATTGCACAGTACATCCCTCCAAACTCTTGGTCCCTCAAGTTCCTACTGCAGGAAGATTGAAATTTTTTTGTTGAAATTCCATATGACACTTACTTATAATTGAACAATAATATTACTAAATATTGGTATAAATGAACATCATTGCTCACCCATAAACCATGTGCGGAATGAGATCAAGATGGCTTGTGTTTGAATCCGCAATTGGATCAAACCGATCCTAAGCATAACAAAGAGATTAAAAATCTGTTAGTACAAAAGATTGCTAAAAAATAAACATTGAAGGTTCACAGGCACTAAAACATTATAACTGATGACAACAAACTATTAGAGAGAGTTCAACACAGTGTACATATGAATCGGGAAAGGGGAACAAAAAGGGTGTTCAAGGATCAAGGTGACTGGAAATAACTCAAATTTTGAGAGAGATAACAAATAAAACATTTTCCATTAATCCATTTGGTATTCTTCAATTTAAAAATCCATTTAAACATTCTCCATCCAAAAAGACATGTACTGAAAAATTCTATCAGGAAAGCCCATCTCCCAAGTTCCCTGTATTTTGGAATATTGCTATAGCGAATTGATGGAGCTCTTTAACATGCCATGGAAGTCCTAAGGCTACCATCCATAGGCCATATTCAAAATCTCAATCATGCAACGAGCACATAGGTGTTTGCCTATACAAGTACAATGGAAGGAGATAAAAAAGAGGTTACAATAATTAGTTTTAGAAAATGATTTCTGCTTATTTGGACGATTTTGGACTAGGATGTTTCACTCTCCAGCTTTCTTGGCCAGATAAATAATCTTGTAGTTGTTCTGGGCCTCTGCCTCCTTTAAGGGAGCTACCGATAATCAGATAGTCTTCAATACAATGCCTTTCACATATCATTAACTTCACGAATTAAAAAAATAAAATAACAACAAAAGCATAAACAAAAGCAGAACATCAAAATAGAACCTGAATGGGAATTTTTTCAGTGAAACCATTTACATAATCTAATCAAATCCAAGCAATAAAACCAACAATAAAAAATAGAAAGGAGCCTCAGAAATATAACAATCAACAATTACTCACATGGAAGATAGCAACAGCCTTCGAAAGCAACACTCTTGTTTCATCAGAAGTTGTTTTCCCACTGAGAAGCCTCCATCTTAAATCAAGATCAGCACTAGCACTATTCTCCGAGCTTTTTTCCTCATGCTTCTTCTTTATAACATTTAGCAGAGTCTCCGGAAGTTTCTCTTCCCCACTAACTACCAGCTTTTGCAAAGCATAATGAATCCTACTGCATTCCATGCAACAAAACCATTTCCCTTCTGGTAAACCCTGTCATATGTATGGATCAACACATTATCAACAAATAGTTTTGCGTATGCGCCGGGTATACAACAATTGAAGAAAAAATTTAAAATTTAAAAATAACATAACATGTTCAAATACCTTTAGGTCATCCATTTTGTGCTCCTTTAAACAGCCAACATGATATTCCTTCTCACACTGGAGAGAGAGAGAGAGAGAGAGCACTTGTTACAAACTTAAGCAATGTAAAATTGAGGGCACTTGGAAAGCCAAACGTGCAAAGCACACTGCCATCATGACAGAATAGTAAATACCTGATCACAAATGATAACTGTGCGAGGACTAAATCCTGATTTGCTGAAATCGTGTTGCCTGCATGTATCAAGAATGTGTAAGAACAAAAAGTTCTTCAAATGATGAAGACGACAAAATTGAGGCAAAAGTTAACTGCTTAATGCATCTAAAGATGACATATACAAGCACAGAAATCATCAGACAAAAGAAGATTAAAGCTGTACTGACTCATAGAGAAATACAAAAGAAATTAATCCCTAAATTGCAATTAAATTTCATAATAACAACTATACACTACCATCAAAATTCTGAGATGAGAAGATCTGTAGTAGTAGTAGTAGTAGTAGAATGATGCTATAGGCATAAAAGAATTTTTGGCTGATATATTCAAGAATGTTTCACTAAGGGCTATAATTGACTATTTGTTCCAACTAGAGAACCCACTTCCAAGTGGTATTCAATCCAAATGCACATTTATCAATATTCATTAATTGATCAGGAGGGTATCCAAAAGTGGAGGGATGGGGAAATATGTAAATAATAATGATAACAGGCCATTTAAGCTTTTAATATGAAGACTCCAACTTAAAACACTTTGAATACAACCTGCACAGCAGACATCCACCAACTTCAGCAGCATCTGGAGTTTCCACAATACGAATGCACCTCTTTGTTATTTGCTCTATAGGATCAATTCCTGCGATCCTTCCAGCCGCAACAGCATTGGCGTTATGCTCCACAAATTTCTCTTTTTGGAACGTATTCTGACAATATTTACAGTACCAAGTACCGTTGGGGATGCTAGGTAGAGAAACACACTCTGCAGATCACAAAAGCAGCAACAATCATCATTTATCGCATGTATAAATTTGTTGTTGATATACATTAATTCAAATAACAACACACCCTTGTATTATTACAAATCAGGAACGAAACAACACACAGTAGTAGTATGGGAAAAAAACAAAAGTGCTTATAGAAAAGAGAACAAGAAGAGACAAAACATTGCATGAGAAGGTGGTAACACATACTGGCATGTTTTTAATTTTTTTTTTATGCCCAATTATCCTTAATACTTTTACAACTTAAGCAGTACTTGCTCCATGATCCGTAGTATGAATGTAAATAACAAGAGCTAAATAACAACACAACCGCCATACAACAAGAGCTATAAAAACTAAAAAAAAAAATCACAAAAACAAAAGCGAATTACACAAGAGTAATTTTCACCTGTGTGAAATGCTCGTGGGCAAGTATCACAAAGCAAAAGATCTCCTCCATCTGCACAGATGGAGCAGAGATCATCATTTTCTTCAGCAGAAAACTTCCGATTTTTTGATAAACTTATTGACAATTCATGAAGGGAAACCCCGTTTGATGTATAAATGTGCAGGTACCTGCAAAAACAAATAATCCCAAGTCAAAAGGAAAAGGACAAAAGCAAAAAGAATAAAGGGTAAATAACTTATCATTACACATGGCAGCATAAAATTATAGGTCATGATTTCCAACCAATTTCCAAAATATTAAAAAAGACACTTACGGCTTCCGGCGTGACGCAAAACCAGCATGAGATTCAAACTGTGAGGGGCTGACCTGTTCAGGCACGTAAAGGAGGTCAACATCTCAAATAGATTACTTAGTAAGGCCGTAATCCAAATCATAACAGAACTACCTCACTGCGGCAACAAGTGCAATAAATTCCAGCACCCATCTTGTAACCAGCAAGCAATTTCTAACAAACAATGAGAGAAGATTCAGAAAATAGTAATAATAATAATAAATAAATAAATACTCCCTCAGTCCCATATTAGTTGTCCCTTTTGTAGGGTAGAACTTTTTAAGGAGACATGCAATTAATGCATTGTCCCATTTCAAAATTACCAAATTATCCTTTCAAGTTTGAATATATATAGGAAATTTTTTAAAACTTCAAGGGTATTTATCAAAAGATGCGTTTATCTTACTTGGACATTTTAAGTGGGGCAAGTACATTGGGATAACCCAAAAAGGAAAGATGGACAATTAAAATGGGACGGAGGGAGTATTACATATAGAAATGCTATTGCCAAAACATTTCATGTAGCTTCATGAGATAAACAACCTGTCCACGAGCATAATAACCAAGCTCAGTTCCATCAGGCAGCACATCTTCCTCAAATACCAACCTATGCATCCGCAAATCTCTTGAAAAAAGACAAAACAAAAAAGATTTAGAGCACTAAATCAAACAGACAAAAAGAAACATGCAATAAATGCTGGTGGCAATATATGCGTCTACTTATAAAAGATTAATTAAGAGATCAGGCAGAAAAAATACTAACTTTCGAGTTAACCTCCCATGACTCTTACTCCTTGACGAGCTACTATAGGACACTTTGTCAGATGACTTTGGAATAGACATCGGTGACCTGAAAATATTAAAATAAAAGTATTTCAAAAACACATCAATGACACATGGGAAAACACATACATTACCAAATGGTAATCTTCCAACAGCACTATGTTGATTGTTAAAAGACAGTAGAGTCCAAAGCAATGCTAAAAAAAATAAAATAATAGCAAATTCCTATAACACCAAGGAGTGAGACAGACAAGTGATGGGAATTTGGTATGATAATGAAAGAATTTAACATATCCATGTCATTAATACATTACAATGTCACACACAGAATTGTGCTGGTAACAATTTATACATTGCAATGTCACACACAGAATTGTGCTGGTAACATGGGTATGATTCGTTTTATAAATGAGGATGGGCACATGATATTTGAAGAATTCCATCTTCCACTTACTGTGTTAAATGAGATAGAGAACCAGCAGCATAGAATTAGAATACAATTCACTGTTTCAGGATCATAAAAAAATCTCCCACAACAAAACATACCTAAATGTAAATGATGCTATAGGCCACATGGATCCTACTATATGTGACAAAGCTGTTACACATTTTAATGTGAGTCAATATTAAGCTATTCCATTGAAAGAAAGTAAATGCTAAGTCCAAAATTTGCACCAAAAGATAAGATTGTAGGGTATAGACTAATCCAGCAATAGTCAAAAACCTTCGTCACTGGGACTCTGGAACCCCTTCCTCAAGAAAGTATGGCATTGAGTTTGATGGTGGGGCCCTTAATTGTCCGGTTGTCCCATCCAAATTTGGGTAGGCTATCAAATGTTACTAACGGAAGACTAGCATTTCCTAAACTAAGCCTATAAATTGACATAATGTGGCGAAAATAGGTCCGTCCAGCACTTCAAGTTCTTAGAGATAATATTGCTCATTCAAGTGTATCTTTTAGTGCACCGCAATCTAAGGCTATAAACCATACTCTCATCTTGCAACTCAAATTCATGCATTAGCTTTTCTTTTTTGAATGCCTTTCAATTTATATATTTAAAATTTCTAAAAGCAAACGCTTTGATCAACGATAGAGGAAACTTTTGTTAAGTGAATTCTTTAAGTGGAACTACTTTCCACGTTGAAACATTTAAGTGAGCTTCGTCATGGGGTTGATGCAACTTCATCTTGTCTTTTTCTACTTCACTTCTTTTTGTCAACTCTTGTCCTTTAAACCACCTTTTGTAACCCCTGGTTTCATTCAACGTCTCATTTTCTAAAATAAAAATGTTGCACTAGCAGACACATGATACCTAGGCATACAGTGGTTCTGAAAAACTCAGTTTTCTCACAAGAAATTGTGACTTCACAAAATGTATATCCACAATCGAAGTATCCGCACTGAATTAGGAAAGACATAAGTTGATTTGCCAACTTCAAAATTGATTCATAACTACCAAAGGGTTTTCATATGTACAAGGAAACCCTAATAGTGCAAATAGGGGGAAAATTTTGATTTGTTGTATTAAGCTTATATGGCTTGCCAATACCATGGTTTACAAATTTTGAAAGCTTAATTCATTTTTATTCCCACCAGTGGCATTGTTTCAACCCGCCAAGTCATCTATGTGCTTGCCACTAACAGAATGTCTTAAAGGCTATCATCAAACTCTGCAACATGAATGGTGGGCACGGTTTTGTAAAACTCAAGGACATAACCATTTGTAACTTGGTAGACGCCTCTTAAACTTTTCTTTTCTTTTACTTGTAAATAAAATTACACTATATTAATTGATGAGATAATCTTAAATGAATGAGCAAAAAAGCGGACATGGCATAATGCATTTGATACTATGTCTTTAACTTCAACATTGATCCCTTAATAAACTCTACTTCCCTCACCCTCTAAGGACCTAACTAAAGAAACATATAACTGTAATTTGTATCTAATTATTGCTGTTTTGTATGTTTTGCTGTGTGCATCTACTAGTGATATTCAAGGAAAAGTACATTTTCATAACAGAAGCATGCAGAGGAGGCTGCCGACATAGTGGATTTTGCTTCATAGAATCCTTCTAATAGATAAGCAGATAAATAGATCTTTCTAATAGATAAGCAGATAAATAGATCCTTCTAATAGATAAGCAAATAAATAGGTCTTTCCAATAGATAAGCAGATAAATAGACTTTTAGTATTTTCAAAGCATATAATTGTTTTTCCACAAAACCAAGTAACTGCTAATATGTCACGACATCAATTTGCTTCTAAGTCCAAGAAATGTTAGAGTGAAAGGACAATAACCCAGCTAACACATCATTTAATGTTCATATCAAAATAGCTAGGAGTTTTATCACAGTAAATTCGCAACTGTTGAACATCCAATCATGATACCCTTGAAATTACCAAAAGTAAATAATTAAGATGATCGCAATTCATTAAATTAAATTCTAACCATCAATACCTATCACTAGTATCACTCATTTGAGTAGGGCTAGGTTGACACTCTTTTAAAGCCATACACGAATCACAAAACAGAACTGTTTTACAAGTGCCAGCTTCAGGAATGGACCCTGAAATCATGAAAGGCAAACAAAATACAATCACTATTAAAATTTAAAAATATATATATATGTCTGATATAACAAAAGAGACAAGTAAAAAAACCTTTGCAATTCAGACAAATTGTGGGTTTATTTCCAGATGAACAACCAATGGTATTCTGGATAGTTACTTCCAACATATCCATTGGAGCATCTTTGCATGCATTCAACACATCGCGGAGGGTGTTACCATTCTCCAAATATATGTATTCTGGTGGACGTTTATTTGAACTACTCGCATGCAACTCAAATTGATTGGGAGTCACAACCTACATGAACCAAAACAAAAGAAAAGTAAATTAATTATGCAAAACTTCAACTTACTGCCAACTATAGGAAATAAAATAACGTGTTAACAGGCTGATATATTGAATTGGGATACAAAACTACCTCAGCTCCCCCACACATCTCACAAGAGCACAATATCCCAGAACCTTTGATTATTCCTCTAAGCCCTGTTTCCTTTGGTGCTCTCACCTATATCGAGAAATGTAATAATAACAGTAACTAAAACATCAGGACAAGCTTCTAAGTTAAACATCGCAAAAATTGTAGAAACTGAATGTAGAATTTACCTTCGAGCCTCGGATATACCGCACAGGTAAACCCTCAAGCAAACCCGTGTCGAGAAGTTCCTTTAACTTGGGGGGAAATCTCTTCAATGAAATCTTTTTTGACATTTTCATTTCAAGCTTATTCGCTGGTGTAACTAGTGAGCTTACTGTTTCACTTTCTGCAACTTCTTCGGTCTTTACATCTTCCGTCAAAGATACCTCTGCTGATTCCACCAATTCCACATTTGATTTCGACGCAGAACCAGCAGCCCAACTCACAGGTTTGCCAGGCATAGCATTCTCTGCAATTCCATTCCCAGTCAGAATAGCTGGTTCCACGGAGTATTTCCCATTGCATGGCGGATCAACCTTTTCCAAATTTGCATCTGTTGGAGGTTTATCTGCAAAATTCTTCACTTGATACTCCGGCTCAGCTGCTTCTTTGCACATTTGTTCCACTAAATCATTCTTGGGTTCCTTCTCACTCATGGCTTCAACCAGATTGGTCTTTGCCTCATCAATGCTTCCAGCTTCCACCGGTATCTTCATCTCATCCTTTGGTTCTTCCGCTGTGATCAGTGATTCCACCAAAGTACTCTTTGGCTCATCATCGCTTATTAGATCCACAACATCACTCTCCGGCTCATCCTCATCACTAAGAGATATCACCCTCTCGCCAATATCACCAATCATATCACTCACCTTACTGCCATTTATCGCCTCATTATTCATCGATATCTCCATATCTGTAACTGAATCATCTTTGATTGAGTGTTTCTCTGTATCATTCTTTGTTTCCTTCGAAACGGAGCTCTTTAATCTCTTAGTGCTCGAATTCTTTAAAACTCCATTGTCCAGAGACCCATTCTGAGGCCTCCTCGACCGTGTCCGACCAATTGAACCGGCGTATTCGGATTGAGACTTCAACGCAAAAGCGAATTCGCGTTTCAAACCCGGACGAACGCGAGACAACACCACATAATCCTCTGTATCGGTACCGTTCGCCATTTAAACACAAATCAACCAATAGATCTATCAGAATACAAACATATGATATCGCAAATCAAACCTCCACGATCCGCAAAAACCCTAGAAATCAATGAGAAACCTAGAATTTAGTATTGAAATTTAGGTTCAAAACAAACGATAAAGATGCCTAATGGGTTGATTTGAATCGATTATCAATTCTGAAATTATAGCATATCACCAAATCTGAACAAAAGGGGAAAAGTTAGGGTTTCCTCAAGATTTGGTGTGTTGGATATGGGAAGCGACGAAGGATGTAGAAACAGAGGAGAGAGAAACGTAGAAAGAGAAAGATGGAAACAGAGAGGACAGAGAAACTCGTCTTAAATTTTATCCATTGTCCAAGACTACCCCTTCGTAACAAACCCAATCCTTCAAATTATTTCTATTCTCTCTATTGCCCATCTAATTGAAAGTATTACAAGTATTCCCTCTTTCTTCTAGTATTTTATATCTTTCCCATCTATAATTTTAAAAAGTAAAGCAAACAATTTCTGTAAATTTATATAACTATTTAACAATAAAAAATAAAAAATTACACCTTTCACAAGTACAACATAATTTAGAGTCGTGCTATTTAGCCCGACAAATAAAAACCTACTATTTCAGCGAGTTTATGTAAAAGTATGTGTCAAATATAATGAGACCTATTTTAAAATATAAAGTAATTAATTATTTAAAAAGTTGTCTATCTTTCTATATGTTGTAAAAAATAAAAGTCAAAAATCTTATTAACGCCCTAGGATTTCATCTTAATATTCTTTGTTAGCAATTAAAGTTTTAACCACTATAAACCTTATATATATATATATATATATAAGATTGTTATGTCAATGATTTATCTAACTCTTATAAACAAAAATTAGGAGATAAATTTAAAGAAGAAAAATTGTAAAGCATTGCAGCCTTTGGCAGCGGAAATTACAATTTTGTATAAATAAAATTCTTATATTTCAGTACCATGAAAACAAAGAAGAAGATGAGGAAAGATGTAGCGCCACACAAACACTCTCTACTTATTGAAAATTGTAAATTGCCTTTATCTGCCAACCGGAAGTTAGAATTCTGTTGTTAAAGTCATTACGTCCAACGCACTCGATATATGGACTAATTGATTTAGTGAAATTATTCTTACGCATGGCCAAAAATACTCTCAACTTCTCATTTATGAAATCAATTGTGAAGGGTAAAATAGATAGGTGTAAGGGTATGTTCATCAAAACAATCGATTCATATGTCGCGTGCATTACACGTGACCACTTTAACACCAAAATTTCAATACCCAGCTATTTGAGGCTGTAATTTGTAACTTTTGATAGTTTGATGGTATTTATTGTAAATAAGAAGAAAAAAATAATATATGGGATATCTTGTAACTTTTTATAGTATATGGGGGATTTAGTGCAATTTGGTATATTTTAAATTTTAAATGGCTAAATTGATATCTATTTAATTAGGCAAAAGAGCAAAAAAAAAAAAAAAAATCCTAAACTATATCGTTGCATAATGCTTTCCTGAACTATTTTTTGGAGCAACTCATTCCTTCAACTATAGAAATGTTGCATATTACCTCCCTTGACAACACTTTCCCGCTATAGGAAACTAATTTTCAACCAAGGGAGGGGCACAATTACTAATTTTTCCCTTATTAATCTATTATAAAAGATATAAAATATCATGGTGTAAAATTTTGATAATGCCCTCAGTTTTTTTTTTCCCTCCATTATCTTCCCTGAGGCCGGCGACTGTTCGCTGATTCGAGCTGTGGCACATGTCCCTTAGCGATGAGAATGCGAACAAAGGGAGATCGATGGCGAAGTGCTTGAGTGGTATCACGGATGGCGATGTCGAGATCCCTTTGAATTTTTTCTATTCAGGTTTCTAATTTTCTCAAATGTGTATGTCTTTGATTTACTTGATTTTTGTAGCCGGTGATGGCGGCGGCAACATATCAATAGAGAGAATGACATATTCTTGTTCTTGCTCTGTAACTTTTTATTGAAACAATCCATTGAAATAACAACCCGGTTCATCCTATTTCTAATGAAGCATCAACGCTTCCAGATCGGCTAAACTGTTCGCCTCAAACCCTTTGAATTCGAACTTCACATTAATCGTCTCTGCCAATTGCGCCAATTTCCAACCCACCTCCTGCAACTGGCCTTTCCTCTATTTCTCTCTCTACTCTCTCTCTCTTCCTACAGATCCATTTTTGGGGCAGTGCTTGAAACTTAACAATCTTCACAGTTTTCAAGTGCCCAAGCAATGACGAAAACCCACTGGAGTGTCGGCGAAGCTCAAGATCAGAAGATGCCAGACGGCGAACTTGTTCTCCCACTATAACGGTGACCTTTTGTTAGCAACCTGATGGTTTAGGAGAGGTGGGTGGCCGTCAATGGGGTTTAGGTCACGATTGAGGGAGAAAGCGACGTCGAATAACTACTGTGGCCGAGCGGTGGACTCAAATACACTGACCGGATCCTCATTGTCGCTGGCAGACCAGATCCTCGCCGTCGCTAACACACTCCTTGCTGCCGAGAATCGTTTCAATAACCAAACATTGGAGACGAGCTTAAGGGTCGATTTGATGCGGCGAGGCAATCTGTATTAACACCTGAGTGGCGACCGTATGGTCACAGTTAAGAGAGAATACCACTATATGGTCACCGGACGGTTGTCAGAATCCCTCACAAGCTCCATCAATGGCTTCTTTAGGAGCTCTCACCATCGGTCTTATGAAATTCCTCCGCTCACACCTCTCACCTCTATTCATGCAATAATCACCGGCGTCACTGCCGGCAATGGTAGCCTTATTGGCTGTGACTTTCAGTTGTAGGGAAAATTGAAGAGTAAGTTAAAATAAAAATATAAGAGCATTATTGTTATTTCATATTCATGAATTTTATATTTTTATAATAAATTAATAAGTAAGGGGTCAAGCATCTCCAATGACCTCTCAAATAGGCTCTCAAACTCAAAGTATGGCATATGGATGAAAATAAAACACTCAAATCATTTCTCAAAAGACCTCTCATATTTTGAGATTTTCAAATATAGTAGCTCTTAAATGGTCTCTCAAACTCAAAATATAGCAAGTGGATGAAAATAGGCACTCCAATGAGCTCTCTCAAAAGACCCCTCATATTTTGAAATTGTCAAAAGTAGCTAAAATAAAAATAAGGTACTCCAATAGGTTCTCAAAATATGGAATGATTGTTGTGTCAAAAAATAGCATTTTGGATGAAATGCATCATTGGAGCAAAATTGCAAAAATATAGCATTTTGACACTGTAACTCTTCTCTAAATATATATTTGGTATGGAAATATAGCATTTTGCATTTGAGATGCTTTAAATTAGTAATTATGTCATTCAGTTGGTCGGAAATTAGCTTCTGGTGGCCAAAAAATGTTATCAATGGGGCAATATGCAACATTTATATAGTTAAGGGGCTGAGTTGCTCCTAATAATAGTTCAGGGTGGCATTATGCAACAATGATACAGTTTAGGGGGGTTTTTGCTCTTTAGCCATTTAATTATATATTAGTAAAGCTTACATGCAAATGCATTTGAAGTGCAATTATAATAAAAAATAAATTAGTAATCATAAAATAAATAATATGATCGATAATTTTGAAATGCATCCATTTAAAAGTTTTTTTTTTTTTGGGGACATCATTTTGTTCGAAACTTAAAAAACGTGTTATTAAATTATAAATTAGACATCATTTTCTTTTTATCATTTAGAATTCTAAATTGGATTAAAGGTTTTTATTCATATGTCTTAGCACATTCGAGTTAGAAGTTTTTAAAAATATACCTTTTATATTTCGATCTTAAAGTAAATTGGAACTTATTTCATTTTTTTATTTAGTGAGAAATTTCTTAGTGGTTAATGAGCAATTCCAATATGTGTATATAGAAAGTTTAAAATCTACACAATTTGAGTAGTAGTATGATATGATATAGACATAGATCGATTTTATTTTCATCTTACTAAATGTTATCATTATTTTCATTAAGGTAGTACTAATAGAATTGTATAAGTGATGCATGAGGCAAGGAGCAAAAAATCCTAACTTGATCTCTATAGAGATTCTCATAAAAAAAATGTCCACAAGAGACAATGAAAACAACAAATCAATTATGCATAAGTTAGGCAATGTTGTGTTGTTCTCTTCATGTCTGAAGGACATCATTATTTCATCATTTTTCACTAATTTCTTTCGTTAACTAGTTTTGCTTAATAAGGACAGCATGGAAACATCATTTTGTTTTCAAATATTCAAACATATGATGTTCAAAGAGAAAGAACACCAAGAGCTATAGCTTAGCGGTATTTTTTTTACCATCCAAATTAGAAGGTCGAAGGTTAAAGTCCTTATAGGGGCAAAATAGGTGTATGAATGTGTTTTTTATCAATGAGAAAAAATATAAAAATATAACATAGAGTATAAGAGAGTAATCGGTAATGCTCGTATTATGGAAGTGGTTTGTAATTATTGGGAAAATTTTAAAAGGTGTAAGATGGAACTGGTTCGTAACTGTTGGGAAAAATTCAAAAGGTGTAAGATCTCTAAAAAAAATTATTAAATACAAAAAAAATTATTTAATAAAAAGTATAAAAATGTATATAAATAATCAAAATTGTTTACACTTTTAATAATTGTATGTCTAGATTAGTTACATTATGGACGATCACGATTGTAAAACCTTATATTGTCACGACAATCTCTTAGATGAAGTTAGCCAATCACGTTGTCAAATTGCTCAAGGCATGGTCAATTATTTATATTTATCAAATAAATAAGGTTGGACAATCATATAATCATAATCAGGAAGGCTCTCACACGGTCCAAAAGAGCGAATTTTCCAACGGACAAATAGTCAAATAGTCAATTACACGTTATTACTTTATGAGACCTAACCATAGTTAATATTTATTACTTTAATAGTCAATTTACCATAGTTACCTTAAATTTCTTTTAAATTTTATGCACAAATACAATTAAATATCCAATCTCATCATTTCAATTTTGGAAATATTTTATGGTATTAGAAAATCCACGTTCAAAATTTTAAAATATCTCAAAAACTATTTTTTTATATTTTTCGGTCGTTGAAAATAATCATGCAGAAACATTTTGGCAAGACCATGTCAAGTGGACATAACACACACACCTCCTATTTACCATTTCACAGTTTCTCCAATTTAGATCGTCATTAACAAGAACTTTAATACTACATGTCTAGCAATTCATGGTATTACTTACACAGGTATATAAAACTAAACCTTATTTATTAATTTG